CCCAGCACTGTAGCTCCAAATGGGGTAGAGCCAGGCATTGGGGGCTGCCTGGGACACTGACTTCCTAGCTGGCTGGCTGGGTGGTGGGAGTGCCTCCTGGGGTCCTGGCCTGATGGCTGTACCTGGGCCGCTGCATTCTGCTCTAGATAAAGAAGCTGTGCAAGGTTCCCGACTTCCCCCCAAAACGAGTGCCCAACTGGATGACCAAGGTGTTGGAGCAGCGGCGGCAGGGCCTGGAGGTTTATATTCAGGTAGGACTTCTCCCTGTTGCCAGCAGCAGTGCTGTGGGTCACAGTCTCCCACTGGGACTCCAGTACAAGTGGGGCTGGATCGGGGGCCCACTTCACATGGTTGTGGGGCTTGCTGCCCTAAAGAAACAGAGACACCCTTGGTTTGGGATTCCCTGCTGTGGGGGAGGAGCCCGAAGGAGATGAGCCTGCTGTGTCTCATGGAGCCCTTGCCTGCCTGTATCCTCATGTGTGCGTTGGCTTCAGGGCGTTGTGTACTACAATGAGGAGCTTCCCAAGGAGGTGCTGGACTTCCTAAAACTCCGGCATGGTTACCAGGACCCCAAGGGCAGCAGCCTGGCGTGAGTACCTGGATCACCTGGCAGGGGAGGATTGGTCCGCAGGGACCTAGTGAGGTTGGTGCTGCAGCTGTCCACATGCAGGCCTTGGAGGGGCTGGGCCAGGCAGAATAGTTAATGGGAGACAGAACAATGAACAGCTGGGATAGGAGCAACAGGCTTCTCCTCCCTCTATGCTGGGGCTGTAGCTGGGGTGCTGTCCTAGGAGCCTACCTGTTACCTGCCAGGCCCCCTCCATACTACCCCCCACCTGCAGCCCTGCCCCAATATCAACTCTGCATGGATGTCAGCTGGGAGTTTTGCCTGCTGGAGACCCCAGTGCAACAGCAACTTGTGCTTTTCTGTAAGGGCAGATTCAAGTGCACAGACTTGGGTGTCAGTCAGATGCACGCACCCCTTGTCTCAGTGGTTGTTGTGTCCAGGTACAGACAGACACTGCAGTGAAGCCCATCTGCATGACACCAGTGTGGTAAAGCAGAGGGCAGATGACAAGTCCATGAGCTGAGAGAACTGCTCAAATCTGGTGGAGAAACACCCCTAAAAAAAAATCAGGGGTGCAAGTCACACCAGTGTGAGTTTCACCTGTCTGTCCATCCCCGGGTAACTGGGTGCTCAAGACCAAATGGGCTGTTGCACTTTCTCAGCTGCTTAGGGCTGAGCTACAGAGACAGCCACCTGCTCTGGCAGATGTTCTGGGGCAGTGCCAGGTATGTCCATTCCCTTACCATGAACGGCATGTGCTCCCGGTGGCTGGGGGGGCACAGTGACAGTAACCTGGGAGCTCCCACAGACTGCACTGGTGGGGGGGATGGCAAGTGCTGACCAAGGGTTGGCGGTCAGCCACCACAGCCAGTGGGGATCACGGACACCGCCGGCAGATGCGGTTAGCGGTGGAGTGGCAAGCGACGACTGCCTGCAGGCGCCACCACGCTCAAGGGGTGCACATGCACTTGCATGTACCCCCTATGCATTGCCCCTGCTACTTACTTAGATGACGGTCAGCTCAGTGGCAGCAGTGTGTGTGTCCATCTGCTCATAGGTGGGCCTGAGCATCTGGGAAGAAGCAGAGCCAGCCCCAACTTTGCCTGAGCCCCAGGCTCACTACACTCTGTTCTCTTGCAGTTCTCCATGTGCCTTCCCAGTGGAGGAGAGCAGGCAAGTCATTGGATTTGTATCTTGACCTAGAAGGCTCTGTGCACACCTCTGACAGCAGCCTTCACTAGACCAAGATCCAGCTGTTGCCATCTGAGCCACCAGCTGAGTGAGAGTGCCCCCTGGTGGCATTTTGTTTACATAGCAGCTCCCAGCTTCAGAGGCCAGGTCCAAGTCGGATCTGCTGCTGGCCAGAGAGATTGTTTCAGGGCCTCTCCTGAGCACTATACAGTCACTGTCCTCATGCCTGCAGTACCCAGCAGAGCCATCTTCTCCTCTCAGGGGCTCTGTTAGCTGAAGGCACTCGCTTGGAGCAAAGCCTTGGTGCCACTTCCCCTTTCTGCAGTGCAAGGCAGTAGTTGCCCTGGAGCTCAGAGCAATGGTGCAGGGTGGAATGAGGGTGGGTAATGACACCTAGATGACCTGGTGCACATGTGCTTCTGGGGAGAGGCCTTGCCTGCAGGAACCCTCCTCCCTGTCTTGCCAGTTGGAGGGGCCTCTGCGGCACAGGGGACTGGGCTGCTGCTTTTAATTGGTTATGTGCATCACTGCCCAGCAAAGAGAGCTCATCACCCCCTCTTATTGCAACCACAGGTTCCTGCTCACCCACCGGCCAGTCCTGAGCTTCTACAAAGACCCATACATACTGCACCCAGCCACAAGTAAGGAGCACCTAATTAATTGTGAGGGCTAAGGGGAACCTGTAGGGATGTCATACTGGGGGCAGACAACAAGCCCTGCCATTTTTCCCCTGAGCACACCTCCACTAATACCATCCTCTTGCTTTTCAGACCTGCTGCCTGACACTGTGCTGAGTGGTGTGCTACAGGGCCTCTATGCCCCAGAGAGTACTGTCTATCAGACACCTGCCCCCAAAAGCCCAAGACCCAACCCACTTGCCCAGCAGGGCTCCTGTGCACAGATAGCAACAGCTGATGCAGCTTCACTAGCACCACTGTGGGGGCAGCACTGCCCAGCTGTTCCTCTCACTAGGATCCTACTGCCTGGCTCCCCAGGCACTGGGAGAGGAGATGGAAGCTGAGCCTAGCTTTGGTACAAGGGACTGACATGGACGAAGTGGGTACCAAGGCCTCATTGCAGCAGACACTATTCTTTGTGCACTGTACTTGTAGCTGCTCAGGGGGTGGGCCTGGCCCTTACAGCATGACAGGGATGAGGGGAGGGCTTTAATACCCTGGTTCCAGGCGGAGAAGTGGAGCCCAGTGCCACAAGCACCAGAACTGACACTTGCACAGCATGCAGAGGTGGCCCTGCTGACAGTGGCGGGTTTTTCAGCCCAGAGTTTGTTTGTGCCTTATGTCTGCATGGCAACAGCTGCCAGGGGAAGCCTGATGGGGCTGAACTGTGGGGGGAGGGCATGTTCCTGAGCTGTGTTGAGGGGGGCTGCAGACTCATCTGTGCAATAAATAACTCAGGTTGGGCTGGGATGGCTGTTGTGTTCTGTCCTCTGGCAAGTGGACAGAAAGCCAGGGCCAGCTGTAGATCCTGGCAGAGACAAGGGAACCAGTAGCTGTGGGGCAGGGAAGGAGACTAGAGGTAGTTATAGAAGCAGCCATGCAGTCCTGGGGGCAAGGTGCAGACTAGGGCCTAGTTCCATTTCAAGTCGCTAGTGAGTCGGAAGCTGTGCCGAGAGCAATGGAGACACCATCTGGGCACTGGGCACCTGCTGGACCTCAGTCCTGTGGAAGAGGGCAGCCCCTACCAGATGCATCTTCACTAGCCACCTAAGAGGACTCTGCACATCAGCAATGTCTGGGGAAGCTGCAGGCCTCAGTCTTGGCTCCTGGGAGTGGGGGGGTACAGCCCCCTGGCCAGTCTCCAATCACAAGTAGCTTCTGTAGAGGAGTTTTAAGGAAGCAGGAAGCCAGGCTGGTGCCAGGCCCCACCTGGGCATTAGGGCTGGGCTGCTAGGACAGCAGCACTGGAGCTGTTCAGATGCTGTAGGCCACTCATTTTCTGTAGAGCCTTCAGCTGTGCAATCACTCAGCAGAGGGGCCCTACCTAGCTGGGGAAGGGGTGGTGGGCTGCCCCACTGTTGTTCAGCCCCTGAAGGAAGCAGGCAGAGGCAGCACTATAAAAACACATTGGTCACGTTTATTGGTGCATGTGCTTCTTACAAAAAATGATGGGACGCCCAAGCCAGACCGTCCACCGCCCCCCTCTCCCCGCTTGCTGGCTGGACAGGATGTGGTGGGGGTATAAAGCAGAGAGGTCTCGGGCAGCAGGGTGGGGCTGGGAGGGCTCAGCAGCATAGCTGCTGCTCACCTGCCCAGGTGACACAAGGAAGAGGGCAACTAAATATGAGGGACGCCAGTAAGCATGACAGTCCCTCAGCCCAGGCCCACAGCCCTCTGCAGCAGGGCCCTGACAGCACTAGGCCCCGCCTCATCCCTGAGCCAGGACACATTACTCTTTGGCAATGGCAAAGGGCTTCTCCACTTCAATGGTGCCGCAGTCAGCGATAGTGACATCCTTCAGGGGCTTGTCTCGGCCATCGGTTTTGGTGTTCTCCACTTTCCTCACCACATCCTGGTGGAACATGCACAGCAGGGCTCTCAGGGCACTAGGAGTTACACTGCTGGGGCCGTGATTCAGCTGGACTGCGCTACACTCGCACATGGATGCCCCAACCAGCGAAGGGGCTTTTGCATCCCCACCTTAGATAGCTCAATGTCCAACTCCCAGCCAGTCCTGCTCCATAGGATGCCCTGCCAAGAACCAGGACCCCTTGCCCTGGGCACTCAGTGTCAGCTACACGTCAGCCTGTAGTAGCCACTATCTCACACCCCACAAAGGTGCTTCCCCTCCTTACCATGCCTTCCAGGACTTTGCCAAACACCACGTGCTTGCCATCCAGCCAGGGGGTCTTGACAGTGGTAATGAAAAACTGGGAGCCGTTGGTGTCCTTGCCAGCATTGGCCATGCTGACCCAGCCTGGTCCATAGTGCTTCAGCTTGAAGTTCTCATCAGGGAAACGATCACCATAGATACTCTTCCCTGACAGCAAGAGCAGAGGGGCTGGCTGTAACAGGGGGACCCAAACAGGAATCCAGAGAGGAAACAATCTCCTCTGGCTCAGGCAGGGCCTCTCCTCCCTTCCCCACCCCGCTCAACTCAACCCCAGGAACCTTGGAACCAGGAGTAGAGAAGAAACACCCATCCTCTGCACATAGCGCTAGTGGCAGCTGCAAGGAAGGGTAGTACCCAAGGCAGATGGAAGGAGGGCACCCCCAGCTGGCAAGAGAAGGAGTGTGATCAAGCTGCATGGTGCTGAAACAGCCACACCCACCAGGACCCATCTTCTTCTAGCCACCCAAGGGGATGTGCAGGATGTAGGGGCAACCCCCAGGACACCCACCTCCTCCTCACAGCTCAGCAGACACATGCCCCTGCCTGTCACAGCAGTAGCCAGGTTGCAAGCACAACCACAATCCACATGCTCCCCAGGCTCTTGAGAAGAGCACAGGCCTGGGCTCCCACAGACTGAAGTGGGAGAGTATCTGGCACCTGCACCTTGCCACATACCCACCTGGCTGCTGGCATAATTAATTCATGTGACCAGGCAGCCAGCACCCTCATGCCATGCCAGCCTGTACCAGGAGTTGCACAGCAGTACCCTGCTGGGGGGTGGGGAATGGGCCAAGTCTCAAGTTGTCATGCCCATCGCGGTGGTTAGCAGACAAGAGTTCTGAGGCAGCCTGTGCTGGCAGAGGGACCCCAGTGAACTGGGTCTCTGGAAGGACCCATACCCACACCCCCTCCTCCATATAGATGCTGCATGGGAAGGACTTAGAAATCCCTGACCTTGTATCCCATGACTGCTACAAGGCACCTGCTCTGCTAACCCTAGCTTGCAAGAGCGACTTCAGCTCTGGCACAGTCAGATATGCTGCCCCCTGTGGCACAGCAGAGGGTCCCATGCCAAGCGTGGGGCAGTGTCGATCCAAGGGGGCTGAAGGTGCTGCCCCCCACTGACCCACCTGGGAAAGGCAGGCAGGCAGGCCTGGGAAGAAACCTACTAACCCCAAAGAGCAGCAGATGCCTCTGCCCCTTCCTGAGAGGCCTGGTGCCCAGAGCACAGCAAGTGTCTAGACTGGCCTGGGCCCAGCATTACCTCCAGTGCCATCTCCCCGGGTGAAGTCTCCTCCCTGGATCATGAAGTCCTTGATCACACGGTGGAACTTGCTGCCTTTGAACCCAAACCCTTTCTATAACAGAGAAGAACAAAAGTGAGGCACCAGTCAGCTCTGCTCCTCCCCCTGACTCCACAGGATGAGAAGGAGGTGCTGCTGACCCCCGGCCAGTGCAGGCTTTGGCCCTCTTGGCTTGGAAGATGCCCTTCCACGTGTGGCCATGGGCTGGGCCCGGGCCCATGCAGCCAGGCCTGAGGGTGAATCTGGGGAAGGGCTCCAGCTGAGCTGCAGAGATGGTGCATGTGTGCGTGGGGGGGGGGAGGTAATTAGGAAAGGTGCCACCCTAGCACTGAGGCAGGGCCGTGGGTGAAAACAGGGAGTGGCTGGCTGAGGGCTTGTGGAAGGCAACTTCCTAGCCCCTGGGGGGCAGTGGGGGCTTGTTTCCAGCCAGGTGCCAGGAGAGCAGCTGTTATTGCCCTTGATGGAAATTTCAATGGGGCCTAAAAGAGCTGAACGCAAAGCTGCTTGCCCTGGGGCTCCTAGCACCTCCTCACTGCTGGGGGACAGACCCTGGGCCTCAGCACCAGGTGGGGGCTGCACACTGGGCTCTCAGGAGTGGAGCTGAGCTGAACCGTGCCCAGCTGGGCCAGGATCTCTCACGTCAGCGCGCGCCGTTTACCAGCCCCCTCCCCCTTGGACCACCGATCCTTCCCTCCTGGCCCCACTGAATGCTGCTCTGCTGCCCGCCCTGTGCTTGATGCCCAACAGGCTACTCTGCCCCCTGCCCCACTGCTCTCCTCTATGCCTGATCTGCTGCTCTACTCCCTGCTCCCTCCCCTTGGCACTTGACACCCTGCTCCGTCCTGAGCTACTGCTCTGCTGCCTGCTCCCCCCAGCCTGGATCCCTCGCCCCTTACCTCGCCTGTGGCCAAGGCGACGAAGTTCTCCACGGTCTTGGGCACGGTCTTGCCGAAGAGGCCGATGACCACGCGGCCCACCGCCTCCTCGCCGATACTCAGGTCGAAGTACACCTGGGGGGGAGGGGGGGAGCGGAGTCAGCACCGGCCCGAGCCCCCGACACGGGGGGGG